GAATTTACCACATTTGCCATCGCATCCAGTTCACCCTTCCAGGAACATGGAAATCTGTAGAACATGTTTCTCAGGCTTCTCTGTCAGCTGACTTCTCCTAGTGGGAAGCCCGCACAGGAGGCCGAAGAGTGGTAAGTAGGGAGAAGCCAGGGCATTTGCCCCACTCCCTATCACAGGAGGCTCCTCCTGCGGAGGCTGCCTTTCCTCCATGGCTCCAGCTCTCACCAGACGGGCTTGCTGAGGTTTCCGCCTCTGCACTATGACTTCAGAGTTAGTCACATACTTTTATCAGTCTCCCAATCTATAGGCTGTGATCTGCTCACAGCATCCAGTTGTTTCACAAACGAATTCAAAGAATGTCCGTGAAAAATGAAGTGGTGGACAGATAGAGTACTTGAGGGAATACAAAATGAGCCAACATGGCTCAGACAAAAAGTAAATGAGCCTGTGGGATCAAAACTCCTGGGTTCAGAAACTTGCTCTGGCACCAACCTACCCAGGCAACGCCGTGTTTTGTTTTCCCCACCAATAAATGGGAGTCACAGTGTTGATAATGGAGTCGTTACACAGTAGCGCAAAGTGAGAATGAGTGTCTGTGAAGATGAACATTGTCGAGTATAAAAAGCTACTATAAATGTTAAATGAATTTACCAATTATAAGCAGAAAACAACTTTATTTCTATCAAATTAAAAAAGATGAATAATCTTCAAGCAAGATAAAGTAATCAATAAGACAATTAACAATTAGAAGAGCATTTACAGATCAGGTTTAGATACTTTGAATTAAGCACAGACACACAAATCAAGCGGGCCGACGACTTTCACAGAGGGAAAGCGTGGACTCATCGTAAACACATGACTTCTGGGAAAGTGGAGCTGACATTTCACGGGACAGTAAACCAAAGAGACAAGCTGTCATTACGTAGAGAACTGATTTGAGCTTGAGGGGGATCACAGTGAAATGCCATTGGAACTCAACAACTTCCTCCCAGAGATCTCTTCATCTCAAAAACAAGAGTATATAAAAATCAGTAGTACAAATTCTCATAAAACTAGAAAAGCCCTCTAAACCCTAACACTTTGTAGCTTACATAAAGACTCAGTTTTCATTTTTCTTCTCTTTTCTTTAAATTAAACACATCAAATTTGTTTTTTATTTAATACACTTCTGACTTCATAGCCAAAGCTTTAAAATAAAGAAAAGAAAGTTTAAATGAAATGGAGTTAGACACATACTAACCCCGGGGAGAATCTTCTAGGTGCACCGCTCCTTGGAAAAGTTTTAAACAGGAAATCTTTTATTTCAAAGATACCGAACTTCCTGGAATAGCCTAATTATCACTGAAGGAAGGAAGGAAGGACCATCCACACCACAGGAAAACTCTCTCCCTTTTGGAAGTGTTTTGCCATCTCTCTCTCTCTCTCATACATACACACACTAACTGGGGAATTCCCTGAAGCATACGCATAATGGCATTTATTTTGGCAAGAGTTGTGCAATTTGTTAAAAGAAAGATAAGGTATGGCATTTATAAACAATCGCAATTATAATATATCTGAACAGATGCAGGAAGCAGATTTGTCTTCAGAGCTGAAATATGGCTTCACGGTTCCCGCCATCTGCATGTGGCACACTGCTCCTCTGGAAACCAGGCTGGGTCAGTTTTATATGGAAAGGGCTGATAACTTATGACCAGACCCCATTCCTGTACTGAAAGAAATCTCCACTACTGGGTTCTTCTTTTGAGACACCAATAGACAAAGGAGTTACTAAAAATGGAGGGGAAGAGAGAAGTAATTCGTACTGTGAACATGACTCTGCTTTATGAATTGCCTCTCTGGCAAAATTAATTGCAGCAAGAGAAAATACTGTCTGTTAAATGAGAAAGTAAGAAATGAAATTCATCAGCATGTACAGATGCCTCCCAAGATCCCGTAACCCAGGCGGAGTGCAGATGAGACACTGCGCCCTCTGTCTGTACAGTGTGTAACTACCACCAGGGCGCACTGAGTACCCTTTTCCTCTCGGCACCAGAGCACCAAAAACGAAGATTCCAGGCAGGAGCAAATAAATACATTGTTGTATCTATTAACGAGAACAGAGAGTTCAAACTAAAGAAAGATACCAAAAAGGCCCAAGTTCATGTAAGCAGGATTATTTCAGTTTTTAAATGCAAGGAGGCAAGACCATTGAAATCATATCTATTACCTAGGGTAATTGTTAAGGATTTAATTAGACAATGCATGTAATGTGCTTAGTGGGAAATCTGTTGTCTTCATGATTTGAGCAAAGACCTCCAACAGGCTGGTAAACTGTTTAGACAAACAGCTAAAACCAAATACTGAACTAAGGTTCCAGTGAACTAAATTTGATAAAAGCCCTATTTATGGGTTTGTGCAGGCATCCTTCGAACATTCTCCTGTCTCAATAACAACTTAAGTGGCAGGAAAAGCCACAGCAGCAGCTCTCTCACCCATTGCTACTATCACTTTTTCCCTTCCCTGCCAAAGAGCGGGCATAACCCGGCTGAAGCTAGAGCTCCTCTGAGCTTGGCTCCTGGAGGGTGATGGGGAGTAAGGCGGGTAAGACAGGAAGCCAGTCTCCCTGGTTCTGCCAGAACTGTGCATGAGAAGCAGTACGACCACATCAGATGACAGGCAAAGGGGCGAACCTGGCATTCAGAATCGTATTAGTGTGTGATGTAATATAGGGAGATGGTACAAAGTCGGGGCTACCCTGTGTTAGGTGCACAATCACCATTGGTTCATCTGCCAGACCTTTAAGAAGGATCAGTTTATTATCAGGGCCTTGTCTAGGGTGGCAGTGAGGAAATGATCTGTTCTGATCTCAGGAGCTCAGACCTAAATGTGAGCGCCATGGCTAAAGATGGCTGAAGGGTAAAGGTCCCTTCAGGGGCACAAAACCATGGACACAAAAGAGTAAGTGAGGCACACGAGCTCACCTTCTCCACAGATTACCCCAGACTCAAGCCAGCCTACGTTGACAGCCTTTCATTTTATTCATAAATTAGTAGTTACAGAGAAGGGCCAAGGACTCAGATTTTTCCTGTAGCAGCTTCCTTTGCTTACACGAAGGGAATAAGGACAGTATCATATAAACCTAAATGACACCACAGGGGACTGTTACATTTGATGTGAGACTGCTCTTACATACAAGCAAAACCAAGCAGGTTTTTGCCCTGTGCTACATGGGACAGGAAACAGGAAGTTAACATCCAAGAACAAACTCAGGTAGCAGAGTCAGGAAAACCTGAGTGTGAGTCCTGGCTACACTAGTTATTGGCAGCAGAAACCTGGGCAAATCACTTCACATCTACGATCTTGCCTTCTTCCTTGATAAATGTGGGGCTGTGACTACCTCACAGCATAAAATACAGGGCAGGGCAAAAGTAGGCTTCAGTTGCAAGTACGCAAACTTGTATTATTATTTATTAATTATTGTATTATTTTCCATATATAAGCAACTGTACCTACTTTTGTCCCACCCTGTATTTATAAAGATCCAAAAACTGCATATATCACTCAGTAGGCCTTTGATAAATGGTACCTATTTTATGTTTGCAAGGGCATTAAACACAGCAACATTTTCAAGTCTAAATAAGCCTGTCAGGATAATGGAGAGCGAAATGAATTCAGAGCTGGTTAGAATCACAGACTGTAAGGACAGGTATAAATCTTAAGAGACCATCCAAACTATTTCCACCTAACAGGAAAGGAACCGTATGTGTGGCAGTAGAATGAAAACCACGAAAAGCTGTTCCCTGAATTTTACTTTTCTCATAATACTTACTTTTCTAAAAAAATTTAATCTTTTTATAAAAAGTTAATCTTTGTCAAAATCACTGAAGGAGTTTGTTGAAGAAAGCCAGAAATATATATATATATATATTTTAGGCCATTGAACATGAAACACGCCTCGTCTTTCAAAGACCATGGAAAAGGTGTCTGTATTTTATTGGTGTCACCTAGCAAAGGGCCGCTCCGTCGCTGGGCAATCTCAGAAACAGCAAACACTGCCGAGACACACTGAGTGACCCTCACACTGACTGAAGCTGACTATTCTGCTGGAAGGACAAGGAAGAGAGTGAAGGGTGGAGGGGTAGAGTATGGAATTGGGGACCGGGCCATTTCCCATTTCCTGGACCTTTGCCCCAAACCCGAAAAGCAATGATTACACTGAAGTCACTCCCAGGAACAGTAAAGGACCCTTGCTGGGGATAATCACAATGCATGAAGAGGAATACTTATTTTTAAGGCAGCAGGAATAGATTTCATTGTCCTTCCCAGAGGAGAGCAAGAATTAATTATACAAGGTGGCCACCAAGTCTGGAAACCAAGCAAATCCTTAATAAATGATTTATTGACATTACATTACAGTGAATGACAAAATAGCATTATCTGTATTTTTAGACTTTATGGCCACCCTGAAGAATCTTCACAATAAAAAAAATTAAGATTCTGTTTTCTCATCATTGTAAAGCTGTACACTTAGTCTAGGCACAGCGAGTGCAACTAGAAACTGCACAGGCTCCCTTCCCTTTATCCACCACTCACAACAAGCGTGGGTTACTCACAGGAGAAAAGCACTGTCAGCATCTACATTTAGCAGCATTTTCTTTATCTTGAATAAAAAAGTAAACTATTATTTTAGTTGGGTAATCTGTATGGTGTTATTACATCTGTACAGAAGATACGATCCTTTAACATTTCTGTAGGTAAATATTTCTTACTTTTTGAGGATTTAAAAAAGACTCTGAGGATTTTATTTTTGCACAAAAAATAAAGGAATGATGTCCACCCACGAGCATCAGACCAGCAGTGTAAGGAGACTCTCCAAGAGCTCGGGTTCTGGTGCATGAAGTGATTTGACATCATCCCCTAGCTCTCAGCTCTTAGAAAGGAATTTCAGAGGGATAAAGGCAATACGTATCCATATAATTTAATAGCCTAGGAAGGGAAGAAACAGATGTAAAAAAAAATACAGCCTAATAAACATAGCAGAAGTCAAACCCTTTCATTCCAGGATGTCTGAAAAGGAGAGATTCTATGGTGCATGGACTCAGAAAAGGAGGCTCTCCTAACAGAAAAAATAAACGTGGATACAGTCACTCAGAATCAGAGAAGCAACCACCGAGAGCTATTGGCTTCGATCTCATGGCCTCCAGAGGGGCGTATACCAGAGAACGTGGGATAAAGCCCAGGCTACGGCCCTTGGCATTCCCAGGCCTGCTGGTGCTATGGTTCAACAGCCTTTAGGGGATGGGGAGAAAACAGAGAGCACCACCATCAAGGGTAAAAAGGCTGCTACTATGGCAACAACATGACTGTCAAAAATCAGCTAGAGCTGACGATATACACTGTTTGGAATCCAGCCTGCACTTGCTTTCTTGTGAAAGGCTTGGCACATGTACAGAGCCATCTTCAACATGTCTAGATGACCCTTGTTTTGAAAGTCAGAGAACAGCCTCTTCTCATCAACTCTTTTTACTCATTAGTTTTTATATCAGATCACCACTTAAAACTAGAAATGACGCAAGCTACCTCAGCTAGCTTCTAATTGAAACACGGCACCAGTACTACACACACAATTGTGAGAATGACCACTTCTCATGGTTCTTCCTCCAGGCGGGCTCAGTATGCTTCTTTGGACTGTATAGGTGTGATCTTGTTCGAGAAAAGAGTGTAAACATAGGGCCAGATTTTGTTAGTCTCCGTTCCGGAAAATTGGTGCAGCACTCCTCGGCTCCTGAAAGACAAAGTCAAACCCACAAAGGCATGTTAGGTTCCCTTTTAACGTAATATAAAAGCCTATGAAGGGTCTGGATAAAATGCAAGCACGATCTTACAGTCTATATCACACATCACGAAGAGCCTAACTGGCCCCTTCAAATGCATCAATATCCCCCACAGGATGTTATCTAAATAAGACCACAGCTTTTCAATTGTGGAACACTTGCCATGGTGCCACCTTTTATTCTTCCCTCTAAAACATATCAAAGAAGGCCCCGGTGGCTGCTGTTGAAATGGGCAGGTTTATGAAACTCAGGAAGGTAGTGCTGGTCCTGGACAGATGCTGCTTTGAGTCATTGTGGAGAACATTGATGCTGGCCCCTCAGACCATCCCTATAGCCATACTCTGGTGGCTGGAATGGACTGCTATCCCCACAAAGTGACAGCTGCCATGGACAAGGGGAAAACTGCCAAGACGTCAAAGATCAAGTCTTTTGTGAAAGCTTATGATCACTTCATGCCCACAAGGTACTCTGTGGACATCCCCTTGAACAAAACCGCTGTCAAGAAAGACATCTTCAGAGTCCCAGCTCTGAAACACAAGGCTGGACAGAAGACCAAGGTCAAGTTCAAAGAGAGGTACAAGACTGGCAAGAAGAAATGGCTCTTCCAGAAGCTGTGGTTTTAGATCTTTCTTGTTTCAGTCATTAAAAAAATTTTTTAAAAGAACAAAAAATATATGAAAGAATAACATTATTCTTTGAGGACAATCCAAAATCTGCCTCACCATACATTCCTGAAAACCAAAATACTGTCTCTAAAATCATTACCTCGATAGCGATTGTAAAATACAGGCTGAGTCCCAATAATCTGATCAGGAACCTCTGCTTCAAAGGCTAGCTACATTTGGAGGTGACGAGGTCAGCAATGGACTACACAGCAAAGGCTGTAAACTGCTATTCTGAGCACAGATACATGTGTGGGTTTCACTAGGCTGACACGCTGCTAGAATTTTAAAATTTGTCACTAATACAAAAACTGGGATTACTTTTCTCCACACAAAGAGCCAGATTTCTGTTTCCCTCTTGAAAAACAAGGATCATTGGCTGCAATGAGCCCAAGTGCCCTGTGGTGGTAACTGACTGGAGCTGCACAGAAGCTGTACAGTGCAACTGTCACTCAGCTGCCCCTATCAGACTTGACACTCCTTCCAATACCTGCCTGGCCCCTGCAGCCATTCAAATTTGTAATCTGCAGCTTATAGTTTTCCAGACACATGTAGGCCAAAAGTCCTGTCTAATCTTCTATCCAAATAAGGTATTTATGTGTGGCAGTGTCAAAAGGTAAACCATTATTTCAACCACTTAAAAAGAAAAATGAAAATAAATCTAGATGCAGTTTACGACCAGAGATGATCAGGTTTCAGAGTTTATAGTTGCAGCATAAAAGTACTAGGTATTATCTCCCACGAACAACTTCAGCATTTCATCTGACTCTGGGAATGTGCTGGGGCTTTTAGGGCTTATCTGTCTAGAAGAAACAGGACTCTGCCTCAACCCCTGGCCCTTCTCACAAAGCCCCACACCTTTCCCACTGGCTGACTGTCATGAAACACTGAAGCACACTCACTTGTACAGTTCAATGACTGGCTTTGCCACGTCCTTGTACTGTCTCAGCCTGGCAGCGACTGCTTCAGGTTTATCATCCTCCTGTTGGACCAACGGTTCACCAGTGACATCATCAACCCCCTACAAAGACCAGAGGAACCAGTTAATAGGGGCAACAGTTGGGCCACTTCACCGGTAAAAACTTTCCAGTGCAAAAAAGCCTGTGTTCACCTTTGATTCCTATCACATAATGACTTAGGCCTGGGCAACCACGGTAATCATGAAAGTATTTGAAGAAGAAAAAGCACTCTTAACAGCAATTTAACCTTATTTCATGAGAGCTGAGATCTTTATTAACTTTCTAGATCCTCGCAAACATGTTCCATTGCTGCTGATATATGACATCTCCAATTGAGTTTAAATTTTCATTGCAGCCTCCTTCCCCCAATAAGCAACCTTCAAACAATGTCACTCTGGCCCTCTAAATATTCCTAAAACTGACATGCTTTCTAATGTCTGAGTCCCTAATGTAGAAAACTCAATGTGTCAAGGAACCAACTGGTGTACTTAGGAAAAACACTAATCTAGGAGAAGATATTTCAATCCCACCTCGGCTAATTTCCAAATTCTACCATGTAGCTTTTCCAAGGTTAATCCTACTCAGGTTATTTTACTATATCAAGTAATGACTTATCTAAAGTTGAATTAAAACAGGCATATCATATACCCATGATAATTAGGAACAAACATTCTAAGAACTAAAAATAAAATAAAATAAAATAAAACCACCTTATTTTTGATATATTTTAACCTCCTAGGGAACCATACTTACAAATAGCAAATTCAACACATCAGAATTTTGCCTCCCATGTCCATGGCTATTACCCAGCAGGGAAGATAATAAAAATAAATAAATCTGCCAAAAGGCAGACTAGAGCGGAACCAAAGGCTTAGGCAACTCAACCGGATAATCAGAAACTGGCTCTAAATTGGAAATGCACTGCAATTCCATTACAGCTCAGGGGCTGGGGCACATAATTTACACTCAGGATTTATTGGTGAGCCACATAATTATCGTGTGTGTGTGTTTCATGTCTGTTACCTTACACAACAGGGTGACAGGAATGGGAGAAGCTGTACTTCACCTATATCCCCCTCTCTTTTATTTTACTTTTGGCTGCCAAATTCAGAAATCATTTCTGGGACTTCAGAGCACCAGCAAATACAACAGTTCCCAGTAAGAGCAGAATGATACAAGGGCAACCGCATCACCCTTCTGGGGGAGCTAGACCACAGCAGCTGGTTGAGGTGGACCAGACAAGTACTCACGCTGCTGTCTTTGGGAGCACCACTGTAACTACAGGTGTTCTTTTTGAGAAACCCACTCTTTGCAAAGCAAGTCAGTGTTAAAGCTTCTCAAATCCTATGAGAATCTTTGCAATGGCAGGTCTAGGCAGGACGAAATGTGAAGCATTTGTGTTGGACTTCAGGGCATATTCAGAATCCTCTTTTCTTCCTCATCCATTTTCCCCCCTATTCTAAACTTCTTGGGATGGAAAGGAGAAGAGATCTAATAAAGAATCCCAGATCTACTGACATTTTAAAAAGAAGTCTTCAAGAGGAGACTAGTGCTCAGTCCAAGTAGTAAGACTCCTTGGAATTTTACTGAACTTGTGGCACCCAGGAGTTAGGAAGGCATCCTTAATGTTTGTTGCTAGTTGCTTTTTAAAAAGATATTAATATTTCATATACCCAATAAAGATGAGAATACTATTTTCCCTGGATCCCATCCAGGAATTGGTGTTACAAAATTTAACTTACATTCCTTGACTACTAGTGAATGAGCATTTTAAATATTTGTTGGCTATGTATGTTTGCTCATTTTTTAATGGTCTCTTCCTATCTTTTACCCACTTGTCAACTAAAATGTTTTACCCCTTTCTTGTCAGTCTGTGAGAGTATGCTGTATTTTCTTACGTGTACATTAGGTGGATTGAAGTCCAGGTTATAGACCCTTCCGCTGGGAGGGTGAATCCAACGGCGGCTGAGACGATCTTTGAGCGTTTCAAATGGAATGTTCAAAGTGATCACGAGATCCAGGTCACAGATTCTGTCCAAGGCTTCAGCCTGAACTAATGTCCTAGGAAAACCTAAATGCCAAAACACAACAAATGCAAGACATTTCTCAATTCCAATTATTCAATGAAATATTATCTACTTCCAAAATTTAGTGTCAGAAGAAAATTGCTACTATATAATGTGGTTCCAGCATTGGGGATACTCAAAAATTAAGGAGTCATATGATAAAAGTAGAAAGTGTACTAACCTAACAATCACGAGACTAGTCCCAGCTCCAGTCTCGTCTCTGCTCTTGACTAATCTGTGTGAACTTAGACAAGTTATATCACCTCCATTTTGTCTTCTGATAAAGAAGTGAAAAGTCAAAATTATATTTGTGTCCTTTTAGCTCTATCAGTTTGAGTATATTATTCTTAGGTTGCCACAAAAAATTGTGTATGTTTTTAAGAGCCTAAATCAATTAAAGTAAGGTCGTCCCCTCGGGCTTCATTGGAGCCTGCACCTTAACGAGGTGGGCAAAAGTTCAACCCTAAAAGAACGGGTGCCCTTAAAACTATCTCAATACTGAAAAATTTATAAACTCAGCCTGGTTCTCCACGTGTGGGGAAATAAACAGCAAAACTAAAATTGGGATGCATGAGTATCTCTTCTTTTTTTCTCTTAAGTGTAAACTCTTGGTGACTCCTAATTATGTTTTTTCCCCCAGTTACAGTAAATGTAACTCCAGGTTTGGCTGAGATGGGACTACACAGTGGTGTATTTCTCCTAAAAAGAATCATTTCAGGTTGCCTGCTACGTTAGGAAAACCTTCCTGTACCTAATATCACTTTTTAAAAAAATGTCCTTTAAATCTTAGGAACAAGTATCAGATAAACAGAAGGCTGGAAAGCTCATCAGAGGTATAATAGGAAGCGCAACATTCAGAAGAGAAGCTTTTGAATCACCAACCCATCTCCACCTTTCCGTCTTTGGAAGTAATGAAGATGACAATGCAAAGATGGGTCTTCATGGCCCTAAAACACTTCATATTCAAAGTACTCCTTTTTCTACTGCAAGAAGTCAGTTGTTCAAACATGAATGAGCATGAATGTCTCATGCTCTGTGTTGAAATTCTGAAGTGGTATAAAGGTCAAATTGATTTCAGAGTGCTTGTTGAGTTCAACGTGACAAATTCCATCCAAAGGCTATCTCCATGCCCCTACTTCAGGTACCAGACACTGCTGAAAACTCTCTGATACTCCCTTCAAAGTCTTCCTTATCGCCTGTCCATGAGGCCAGGCCCCTCTCTCCACAGCCCATCCTTCCCAGGATGGCCTGGACTCTCCACATTGCAGGACTCTGGGCTAAGTCATGGATGAAATTCCTGGTTTTCTCGAGTCCTGTATGTTACCCAGTTGCAACCCAACTCACCTATTTGCACAATTTCACCTTCAGGCTGCCCATGATACCATTTTCCTTAATCTATACTTCTCTAATTTATTCTTCTTTTATCCATTACCAAATGACATGAAGCCCAAAGGTGACTATGGCTGCATCAACTTACATTCAATACTGCTCTCTGCAGGCCTCATTAGTTCTTTTCCATCACTGAGCGTGTCAGATATCTCTGCCTCGAGGCCTTGCACTTGCTGTTCTACACCCAAATAAATGTTCTTCCTGCAGATCTCTGAATATCTGACTCCTTACCATTTGGGATATATGTGCATATGTAGCTCACTTCTCAGGGAGGAGACTTCTTGAACTAGTATATTTAAAATAGCCCCATTCCCCTCCCATTTTCCAGCTTATTATTTATTTCATTTTCTGTTATTTTTACTATGAACAATTTCTTAGTATTTACTTATTTTCCATCACTACCTCACTTCCTTAGAAAAGGGACTTTGATTTGATCATTGCTATCTCCTTTAGCACCTAAAAAACATCGACACACTTGGGCAATTTAGTATATGGCCTTATTTCCAAAGTTTATACACTGATAAACTTGCTTATACTTTGCATCTAAGGTTGCAAGCTCATTAGAAATTATTTCCAACTCTTACAAAATTCAGCATGTGGTCTTCAGTTCAGTGCAAGTCTGGGTCACAGTAAGCAAAGAAACAAGAAAAAGCATTTAGGAATTTCATAGCAATTCCACAGTAATTTTAAGTCTGTCGAACTTATAGCTCAAGCCCTAAAATTTGGACTTGAATTTGTTTTTTAATTTTTCAAGTAATTTGTTTTTATTGAATTTGACAAAAGGATTGTTTGGCAATGGATTGGGAAAAAATAAAACTGGATTTTCACTACAGATGATTTGTTCTAGGTTTCCCTTGGATCTTACTTTCTAATTTCTCCAATAACGGAAACTATCCAACCGCCCCAGTATGTAACTTTTGATGGTGTTTATTACAGAAGGGACATAAATTAAGTTGCATCTCCTCCCAAAAGAACACAAGAACAAACAGAGAGAACTAAACTTGCAGGACATTTCAACTCTACTCTTGTGCCAAGGAAAGAGAGAATAAGTTCAAACAGAGATGGGAAAGACTTATCTTGCAGGTAACATCTCAGTGCAATGGCTACCACGTGCTCAACCCTGAGGTATACACATGTTCCTAACTGGGCAAAGGGTTGTTCCAGCATTACAGACACATCAGAACAAATTGCTCTCACGTTGTCCGACTGGCCTCTTCTGATCCAGTTCGCATTCAGGCTGGTTTCAACGAAGAAATTCAACAAGGACGTTGGTATTTCTGATTTTGTAGTCCAGGCTCTTGCGGTAACAGTCACCCAGCCACCGTCCCTCCCACACTCACTCTGGCTAAGCAGCCCCTTCATAAAAAGGCACCCAAATGTTTTGAAATTATGTCAGAAAGTATGTTCACAGAGACTCTCTTTTGCAATAAAAGGACGGGTGATTCCTTTCTACTCTTCTATTGTTTCTAATTTTTTCTAGTGGAGCATAGAGTATTTTCAGAATGGAGTAAAAACTTACCTTTAAATAAAGAATTGCTAACTACTAGATTTTTAAAAAATCTCAACAGAATTTCTATTAGACCGGGTTTATGACCACTTGACACTTGGGGAAGTGAAATATGTCTCATTTGCCCAAATCACCCAAGTACACCATGGAAACCTTGACCTTCAAAGGCAGCAATGCCTGGCTCACGGTGGGCAAACATTTAAATGTCACACTAGGGCAGTTATCTTCCACTTTTCCGTTCAGTGACCATACTTATTTGACTGGTCCACCTTATTTTAAAATCCCAGTGTAAATCCATGAAATTTTATGACTCTTTGGAGCTCTAGAAACCCAATATGTAAGCTTATTTCTATTATGGAATGGCTTGATTGCTTTAATATCAATTTAGCAAGCACCTTCTCTTTTGATTATTAAGTTTAAAAACAAACTGAATTTTGTAACTGCAGCTTTACAGCACTGGGGTGTATTCTTGAGCCCTAAATACATGATAGCTACCAGATGGATAACAATGTGATCTTATCTGAGTCCTCAAAGAGCAAGGTTGGACCCATGTGAGCCCTCGGGGCTCAATTCAGTATTTGGCTACATAGACTGGAAGGTAGGGAAGAAGAGTCTCAGAAGAGTTCAGATAAAACCATGCCTCTTTTATCAGATAAAACCGTGCCTCTTTTATCTTTCCCATTAAATACCTTTACGGTACTTTACACCCTCCTTTCCTCTGCTTCCCTTCCCCCAACAGCTCACTGCAGATCACAATGGGGATGAGAGAGAGAGAGAGAGAGAGAGAGAGAGAATACTGGAGGCCTGGGCACTATGCTACGTCTATTTGTTGACGTTAGGCCTTACTTCCCCTCCACTGCACCAGAGCTTGGCCTAGAAGATGAACTTTCTGACATAAGATTTAAGGCATGCCTTACTCCCCTTGTTATCCTCTGGTACTGTGCCTGGTACATTCTACACTGAAATTCCAGCAAAGAGCGGGAAGCGCACCTTCCACATAAAGGCACGCTCTCACTGAGTGCCCGGTGCTGGCCAACTGGAATTAGAAAGGTTCCTACAGCCAGAACAGCCCAAGATCAATCTCTGCTCTCTTCCAAATCCTTTAAAAAAAAAACTGTTTTCGAAAGCAGTAGCTTCCAGAGAGCCTTACTGGAGCACAGGAAACAAATAATATAACTTCTATTGTTTTTTTTTTGGTTCCTTCATTTTAAGCTTCTATTTTGGAGGGTACATTTTATAATGTATATAATAAAAGTGTATACACACATAATATATATATAAATATTTATACATTGAAAATGAACACTCAACATTTTCACTGCTAAGTGTGTATGAAGAATTTTAGAGATCATGCCACACTGAAGTCCTTAGTTCTCAGCCACAGGCCCTAGTCTTGTATTCTTGCCACTAACCTAACAAGAAAACATTGTTCTTTATCCTTTGGATAGAGGCTGAGAGCTGAAAAAAGTAGTAGGAAAGAACAGGAAGCTCTAAAAGAGAACATAACCGTTTTTCCAACAAATAAAAGCTCAAATATTATTTTTGGCTAACATTTCCTTGCAAGCCAATCTGCTCAGCTTCCCAGCTGTTTCTGAACTCCGAGGCCCTCTGGAGGAATGGGCAGAAAATGCAACCGTGTACAAAATAAGCTGATCTCAGAATGAAACTATTTGGGGTAGTCCCTACCTATTCATCTCTCACATTCAGAACTGCTAAGGACCTCAAAGAGTAGTTAATTTCAGTGGCTTAAAGGTCTTCTGTTAGGACAATGGCTCTTAGCATGTCCTCCCAACCTCATAATAGGTTCAAGTTAAAAGAACCATGCAAAATACATTAGTCCAAGGAAAGTTAAAATTAAAGAGTTAGATTGAAGATGTTAATATTGTTGGAATGCAACTATTTCAACAGTTTTGAACAGTGATTTCCAACCAGTATGCTGTAGTACATCAGTGTGCCACAAGTATGTTTAAAACATGTAACATCTGACTATTTAGTCAGGGCACTGACCTCTTTTCCCTTCGATTGTCAAATAAAAAAAAATGACAGCAAACACAATAATGGCCATCCAGTGTGAATGAATCAAAATAATACCTATTTTTTTGTCAGATC